CTAAGGTTCTAAGATTCTAGGATTCTAAGATTCTAAGATTCTAAGATTTTAAGATTCTGAGATTCTGAGATTCTGAGATTCTGAGATTCTGAGATTCTGAGATTCTGAGATTCTGAGATTCTGAGATTCTGAGATTCTGAGATTCTGAGATTCTGAGATTTTGAGATTCTGAGATTCTGAGATTCTGAGATTCTGAGATTCTGAGATTCTGAGATTCTGAGATTTTGAGATTCTGAGATTCTGAGATTCTGAGATTTTGAGATTCTGAGATTCTGAGATTCTGAGATTCCAAACTCAAAATTCATATTCAACCTGAACATTAAAATAATCTAAATTTTGCTACTATCACTGAAAGTCTTCCTTAGGATTTTCCTGACACCAAAGATTTGGGCCGGGTCAAAAACTGAAATTTTCGCATTTTGCACGAAAATCTAATACATGTTTCCTCCTCTTCTAACAGATGTAAAACTGCGATCAAGTGTGTAAGTACGTGGATAAAAAAGAGAGAGATCCGTGATTTTTCTCTTCCGGGCAACGTGCCAGATAGTGCAGTTGTTCTCTATCTCCCACCCCCCCCCCCCCCCACAAGATGATATGGGTAGGGGTGCCAAAAAGATTCGAATTTCACAAGTGCATAGTACACACTATTCCTCACTATGGCTGTTGTTTTATTAGCTTCCGATTCATTTTTGTCACGTAGATCCACGTGTTTCGTCTTGAGGTGATCATGGAGGTCAAGTTTACATAAGAAGGTGTTAGGAGAACAAGAAGAAGATGATATCAGGGGAGAGGAAGTTCTTTGAAGCGGCGGGGGAGGTCTGAAGATTTAATGGTTTTAGCCTGCGTGCGTTTTTGAAAAATGAAATCGAAACGGAAGCAGGAAGGAGAGTAAGAATAGACGAAGAAGATAATTGCTGCCTGAAGGCTATTTTGGCCAGATGGAGCAGGTGCTCTAGGTGGGAGGTACAAAGATTGAATTGGGAAGCTTTTTTGTGATGCTTCCTTGCAATAAGTCTTTCTGATTCAGAATCACAAAAGTTCAGGAAACACGGAATTCTTTAATTTCAAGCTTCTGGATTTCAAATTTTCACACGATCAATTTTTCAAGAAGTAAACACCTTCAAATAGCTAAAAGGGCAACTTTACTTTCTGGGATTCTCAGATTTCAAGATCATCTGAAAAATTTAAGATCTTAGAATTTTAAGATCTGCGGTATAGAATTTACGGGAATCAGAATTCCAAGAATTTCGAATTTCAAAAAAAAGTTTTTGGAATCTCAGAATCTCAGAATCTCAGAATCTCAGAATCTCAGAATCTCAGAATCTCAGAATCTCAGAATCTCAGAATCTCAGAATTTCAGAATCTCAGAATCTCAGAATCTCAGAATCTCAGAATTTCAGAATCTCAGAATCTCAGAATCTCAGAATCTCAGAATCTCAGAATCTCAGAATCTCAGAATCCCAAAAACTGACCAGCTCTCCCCTTAAAATGTTACGATCTCAATCCCTTTCTATTCCCATATTCATTGTACACATTTCTTTCTCTGCGTCTCTTCGTCCTATACACTGCTCCTCTGTTTCTCTCTATGTACATAGTCAAACTGCGGGCGGGCGGAGGCTTCTTCTCGCTGCCCCCCGCGCAGCCAGTGTGCATGCATCGTCTCGTTCGGCACGTAGTCGAAGAATTGGCCACGCCCACTTCTACCCCCGCCCACTTTTCTAACAATAAGTCAGGCACATTTTGGGGTAGAAGGAAAGTGAGAAGGGTCGCGTTCTCATATTTCCATTTCTTCTTATGCTACTGCTCCATGAGCTCTAGGATCCTAGAAGGGTATAGATACTTAGATCTTCAGCCTTCTGAAAGGATAAGGCTTCCAGTCATATCAGTTATAGGATCTTCGGTCCTTAGATCCAGAGCCCTTTCTAAGCTAAAACCTTTGGCTTCAAAAATAAGTGCACATGTTATATCCTAATCCTCAGCTTCTCGCCTCCCCCGTTTTCCCCCCAAATTTCCGTTTTGTCTTCTTGCCCTCCTTTTTCTTAGAACTAGTACTACAACTCATTACTTTACTTTTTCTTCTTCTCCATCTTCTTCTTACTATACCCCTTCTTCTTATTCTTCCTCCAATGAATCCTTTTTTTCAGAATGTCATTGAGCAAATCCTCCGCTCCATCAACCGCCCGTTCAGTGTTCCGTTTCGTGTTCTCACGAAACGCCAGCACGTCTTCGCCGACGCCGACGCCAGCGAGAATCCAAATCAAAGTTCCGTCAGCCGAGCAGGGACACTTCCAGTACTCGCGTAACTGGTCAAGAGATCCACGCTTCGTCAAAGTCGCTATTCAGAAGGGAGACACGCCTTATCAGTGAGTTTTGCCAGACTTGATGATTCAATAGCCAAGGAGCATACCTCAGTTCAAACAAGAAATTTTGGATTATGAAAAGAACGTAAAACGTTAAAAATTGACTAGACCTACAAAATCACACTTAATTCGACTATTTTCAATTGCCGAGAAGGGAACTAGAGGACGCAAAATGTGGATTGCGCTACCCGGGCCCAATTTTATGAACTAGATGTTTCACAGCCTCTGTTTCTATTCTCAACATTTGAATCTAGTCGAGTTATATATCACTTTAAAGATCTTGTCCAGTTCTACAGTTTTGATTTTAGTTCAAATAGAAATTCCAAGTTTGAGCTCAGTTATGCTCCT